TGTCTGGCTCATTTCACTTACCATGTTTTCAGGATTCATATGTTTTATAGCATGTGCCAGAATTTAATTCCTTTTTATAGCCGAATAATAGTCTATTGTATATATATTCCACATTTCATTTACCTCTTCATGTGTCATTGGATACCTGGGTCGTTTCCTTCTTTTGACTTGCAAATAATGCAGTCAACACTGGCGAACAGTATCTTGAGTGCCTGCTCTCAGTTTCCTTGGTTATATACCTAGGAGTAGAATTGCTGGATCATATGGAAACATTTTATGTTTAGCTTTTTGAGGAACCCCTAAATTGTTTTCCATAGTGGCTGCACTATTTTACATTCCCACCAGCAATGTATGAGAGTTCCAATTTCTCCACATCTTTGTCAACACTTAGTTTCTATTCTTTTTGATTGTATCGGCTGGGATAGGTGTGAAGTGATATCTCATTGTGGTTTTGATTTGCATATTCTAATGAATCATGATGTTGAGAATGTTCTCATGGTTTATTGGCCATTTGTATATGTCCTTATAGAAATGTTTATTCAAGTCCTTTTTTTTAAAAAAAAATCAGGCTCTCGCTCTGTCGCCCAGGCTAGGGTTACAGCCTTGACCTCTTGGGTTCAAGCAACCCTCTCACCTCAGCCTCCTGCGTAGTATAGGCATGTGCCACCACGCCTGGGTGATGTTCTTTTTTTTTTTGGTAGAGGCTGGGTTTTGCCATGTTGCCCAGGCTAGTCTCCCACAGCCTCCCAAAGTGCTGGGATTACAGGCATGAGCCACCAGCCTGGCCTATTCAAGTCCTTTGATTTGGGCTTTTATTTTATTTATTTTTAATTTTTTTTTAGTGTATTCTACTACTTTTATGACTTGGGTTTTTTAATTGGGGTGTCTTTTTTGTTGAATTGTAAAAATTCTTAATATATTCTGAATATTAAACCCTTGTCACATATGTGGTTTCCGAATATTTTCTACCATTCTGTAGGTTTTGCAGAATAATTTTTTTTTTTTTTTTTTTGAGATGGAGTTTCACTCTTGTTGCCCAGGCTGGAGTTCAGTGGCACCATCCTGGCTCATCGCAACCTCTGCCTTCCAGGTTCAAGCAATTCTCCTGCTTCAGCCTCCTGAGCAGCTGCGATTACAGGCATGCGCCACCATGGCTGGCTAATTTTGTGTTTTTAGTAGAGACAGGGTTTCTCCATGTTGGTTAGGTTGGTCTTGAACTCCCAACCTCAGGTGATCCAACCACCTTGGCCTCCCAAAGTGCTGGGATTACAGGCGTGAGCCACGTGCCAGGCTACAGAATAATTTTAATTAAATCCATTTTATCTGGTTTTTTTTTGTTTGTTTCTTGTGCTTTTGGTGTCATATCTAAGAATACATTGCTAAATCCTAGGTCATGAAGATTTACCCTGTTTTTCTTAGAGTGTTGTGCTTTTTGCTCTTATATTTAAGTTGTTGATCCATTTTGGGGTCATTTTTGTATGTAGAGTGTGGTAGGGTACAACTTTATTCTTTTGCATGTGGAAATTTCATTGTACCTTCACCATTTTTATAGAGACTGTTGTTTCCTTATTTAATGGACTTAGGACCCTTGTCAGAACCAACTGGCCATAGATTTATGGGTTTATTTCTGAACTCTGAATTCTGTTTTATTGGTCTGTGTGTATCTTTATGCCGTATGACACTGTTTTGATTGTTGTAGCTTTGTGGTAAGTTTTGAAATTGAGAAGTGTGAGTTCCTCCAAGTTTGTTCTTTTTCAAGAGTTTGGCTTTTGGGCACTTTGCAGTCTCATCTGAGTTTAAGGATTGGCTTTTCCATTTCTGCAGAAGTGACCATTGGAGTTTTGGGATTCCAAATTTGGGAAATAGGGATTGCATTGAATCTGTAGCTCACTTCGGAGAATATTGACAGCTCAACAATATTAGGTCTTCCTATGTATGAACATAGATGTCTTTCCATTTATTTAGGTCTGTTAAATTCTTTGAGCAGTTTTGTTTTTGTTTTTGTTTAGACAGGGTTTGGCTGTGTCACCCAGGCTTGAGTGCAGTAGTGCTATCACTGCTCACTGCAGCCCTGACTCCCCGGGCTCAAGCCATCCTCCTGCCTCAGTCTCTGGAGTAGCTGGGACTACAGGCAAATGCTGCCATGCCTGGATATTTATTTTGCATTTTTAGTAGATGCAGAGTTTTTCCATGTTGCCTAGGCTGGCCCCGAACCCTTGGGCTCAAGTGATCCCCTGCTGAGGCCCCCCCAAAGTGCTGGGATTGCAGGTGTTAGCCTGGCCTTGAGCACCGTTTTATAATTTAAACATACAAGTATTTCACCTCCTTATTTACATTTATTCCCAGGCATATTTTCTTTTAGATGCGATTGTAAATGGAATTGCTTTCTTAACTTCCTTTTCTGAGTGTTCGTTGCTGGTACAGTAGTCCCTTCTTATCCACAGTATTGCCTTATGTAGTTTTACTTACCTGCGTCACCCATGGTCCAAAAATACTGAATGAGGCCGGGCGTGGTGGCTCACGCCTGTAATCCCAGCACTTTGGGAGGCTGAGGCGGGTGGATCACGAGGTCAGGAGATCTAGACCATCCTGGCTAACACGGTGAAACGCCATTTCTACTAAAAATACAAAAAAAAAATTAGCTGGGCGAGGTGGCGGGCGCCTGTAGTCCCAGCTACTCTGGAGGTTGAGGCAGGAGAATGGCGTGAACCCGGGAGGCGGAGCTTGCAGTGAGCCGAGATCACGCCACTGCACTCCAGCCTGGGCGACAGAGCGAGACTGCATCTCAAAAAAAAAAAAAAATATTGAATGGAAGATTATATAAACATTTCATAAGTTTTAAATTGCAAATAGTTCTGAATAATATGATAAAATTTCACAGCCTGCTGCGTCCTACCCAGGACACGAATCATCCCTTTGTCCAACATGTTCACGCTGTATGTGCTCCCCACCCGCTAATTACATACTAGCCATCTCAGTTATCAGATCAACTGTTGGAGTATTGCAGTGCCTGTGTTCAGGTAACCCTTATACTATTTAAAATGGCACCAAAGAGCAAGAGTAGCAATGCTGGCAATTCACATATGCCAGAGAGAAACCATACAGTTCTTCCTTTAAGTGAAAAGGTGAGTTTTTGACTTAGGAAAGAAAAAAGATCATGTACTGAGGTTGCTAAGATCTATGGTAAGAACAAATCTTTTGTCCATGAAATTGTGAAGAAGGAAAAAGAAATTTGTGCTAGTTTTGTTGTGACACCCCAAACTGCAAAAGTTACAGCCACAGTGTGTGATAAGTGCTTAGTTAAGATGGACAAGACATTAAATTTGTGGGTGGAGGACACAAACAGAAAACATGTTTCGATTGATGGCAACCTGGTTTGGTACTATTCATCGTTTTGGACATTCACTGGGGTCTTGGAATTTCAAAAATAAGATGTTTGAGTAGCTGTATACTCTTTATCACATGGATGGAACATAATCTGGTTGTATCAGCATTTTTTTTTTTTTTTTTGAAATGGAGTCATTCTGTTGCCCAGGCTGGAGTTCAGTGGTGCGATCTTGGCTCACTGCAGCCTCTGCCTTCTGGGTTCAAGCGATTCTTGGCTTCAGCCTCCTGAGCAGCAGGAATTATAGGTGTGTGCCACCATACCCAGCTAATTTTCGTATTTTTAGTAGAAATGATGGTTCTGCATGTTGGCCAGGCTGGTCTCGAACTCTTGTCTTCAAGTGATCTGCCTGCCTCAGTCTCCCAATGTACTGGGATTACAGGTGTGAGCCACCGCACCCAGCCTGGTGTGTATCAGCATTTTGAACTTTGGAGTTTATGTAACCAAGGAACCAGGCTGTGGACCTTGTTTATTACTTGAAGAATTCAATGTTTATTTTTGCCTTTTTGAATACCTGACTGTAAAATACTGATCTGATCTGTAGGGAGAACAGTACATGGACCAGGGAATCCTCAGTGCCTTAATAGGTCCTAAGTACTTACTTATTCTTTCCCATAGAGATTTACACGTGGTAGGAGAAGAGATTTCTGGAATACCTTTCCTCCCCTGAGAAAGCTGGTTTCTTTTGTTTGTTAAGTGAGAGAGTGGTACCACAGGGTTTCCAAGATTTCCAAGGCTGATGAAAATTCTTAACTTCTGTTTTCTGTCTGTCTTTCTTGAATTTATTTTTTGTGTGTATGTATTTATTATTTAGAGACAGGGTCTCCCTGTGTCATCCAGGCTGGAGTGCAGTATCACAGTCATAACGCACAGCAGAGTTAATCTCCTGAGCTCAAGTGATTCTCCTGTCTTGGCCTTCTGAGTAGCTAGGAACACAGGCATACTCCACTATGCCCGGCTGTTTTTTTCCCCCTGGAGACAGGATTTCGTTGTGTTGCACAGGCTGGTTTCAAACTCTTGGCCTCAAAGCAGGCCTCCCACCTTGGTCTCTGAAAGTGTTAGAATTAAATAGAATTAAAGGTGTGACCAACTGCACCCAGCTTATTTATTATTAGTAGTAGTTGTTTTTTTGGAGATGGGGTCTTGATCTGTCGCCCAGGCTGGAGTGCAGTGGCACGATCTCAGCTCACTGCAACCTCTGGCTCACTGCAACCTCCGTCTCCTGGGTTCAACTGATTCTTGTGCCTCAGCCTCCCGAGTAGCTGGGAGGCATCCGCCATTGTGCCTGGCTAATTTTTGTATTTTTGTAGAGATGGGGTTTCACCATGTTGGCCACGCTAGTCTCAAACTCCCGAGCTCAGATGATCTGCCCATTTCAGCCTCCCAAAGTGCTGGGGTTATAGGCATGAGCCACCGCATCCAGCTCTATTTTTTGTTTTATGATAGGAAATTATATAACATGGAATTATGCATTTTTCAGGCTTTTAAAAAAACTTTTAAATGAATGAAAACGGCATATCTGAACATAAACTTAGGACAAATTTTTACTACTTTTGAAAAAATGTTGGAAAATATTTCTGTATGAAAAGTAAAACAATTTTCAATATTTTTTTAGAAGTCAATGAAAGGATTCTATTTTGCAAAGCTGTATTATGAAGCTAAAGAATATGATCTTGCTAAAAAGTAAGTACAAACTGTAACATGTATTCATGTTTTAAAAAATCAATGCCTTTTCTCATTTTCTTTGAAATAGGTAAAAATATGTTCTTTGGTAGTTCTTCCTAAGTGTATTCTGAAATAAGGGATTTATCACTCAGACTGATGCTAAGGACCAACCTAGATTCCATTGAGATTGAAACTGTAATTAGTGTTTTCTGCATGCTGCTGTTTGTTTATACCAAGGGCAAGAAATTGTTTGTCTTAAAACACTTTTTCTAAAAATTGTCTTGTGTTAGAGTAAAAGAGGACCAAGCCTATATCTTAATTTATTTTTGGTTAGATATCCGATACCTTGATCAGATGGGAAATAGCAGTGAATAAAAATTAAACTGTAATTGCAAGACAGAAGAATAGCTCGTATAAAAGATCTTTAATTGACACAATATGTGATGCTCTAAGGCTCTATCCTAGGGATAAGAAGCTTGGTGATTCTGATTTCCTGACTTGGGGTGGATTAAATCAGGAAATGAAGAGGGAGGCAGGCATTTTTTTTTTTTTTTTTGTGGCAATATCTGTCTTTCTTGCCCAGACTGGAGTGCAGCGGCTGGCTCCATCTTGGCTCACTGTAACTTCTGACTTCCGGGCTCAAGAGATCTTCCCACCTCAGCGCCCCAAGTAGCTGGGGATACAGATGTGCACCATCACACCTAGCTAAGACTTACATATTTTGGTAGAGACAGGTTTCACTGTGTTGTGCAGGCTGATCTTGAACTTCTGAGCACAGAAGTCTGCCTGCCTCAGCCTCCTGTAGTGTTGGGACTACAGGTGTGTATTATTGCTCCCAGCCGGGAGGCAGGCTTTTAAGGCATTCAAAGATGGAAATGCTGGTAAGAAAGGAAAAATGGTGGTACATAAGTTATGTAACTAGCAGCACTGTGACTGTTAACCCTTGTACCTTTTTACTGTGAGACTTTGCTCCCTTAGTTTAGGTCTGGCCTAATTTCTCTGATTGTAATACTGTCGAGGAACCTAGAGGGTATTTACTTATTTTAGTTGTTACTTGATTTGAGAAATGGAAATTTCCTGTATTTGGTACTATAATTAGTAATTTTTCTTCTGTTCAATTTTAGCTGGATATAGTACTGTTAGAAATTACTTTCTCGCTTAAAGGGTAAATATATTTCCCTTTGTTGTCTGGGAAGTTGTTGCTCTTTAGTATTTTGCATTATGGTAACTTTAAAAATGTTTACTGTAATTACTTTTCTAATTTATTTGCAAAACTGTTAGTGCTTTACTAAAATGTGATCAGAAAGAAAAAGCAATTTATATGTTCCTTTCTTATGTGTGGATAACACTGGAGAAAAATTTGGTAATTGTGACATTTAATGGTAAAATGAGTATGTGGTCAACTCTATGTACGTGTTTTTAAGTATTACCCATTTCTTTCTATGAATGCTTTTGAGTTATCTGCATAAATAGTGGTAGTCTTGAGTAACAATATATAACAAGTTTAGTGGTTGCTTTGGTTTAAGATGTATTCTTCAGTTAGCATTTAAAAGTACAGTTCTAAGTTTAATTTATTTTTGTATTTTGAAAAACAGATACATATGTACTTATATAAATGTGCAAGAGAGAGATCCCAAAGCTCACAGATTTCTGGGTCTTCTTTATGAATTGGAAGAAAACACAGACAAAGCTGTTGAATGTTACAGGGTAAGTTATAGGATTCAAATATAGCCTTTGCATAGCCAAACACATGATGCCAAGACAAATTTATATGAGTAAGTCAAATATATTTTATGAATATGATAAAACAGGCATTGGTATCACAGTACCATTATGCGACACAGCTTGGAACAGATTTAGAATTGTTTAACACCTGTAAATCGTAAGTCTAACGGTCAGACACGGTGTTCTTTTGTGTTTTTTGCATTCAAATGATACAGATATAATTTTTATTTGATTAATTTCCAGAAAATTCCAAGGCACTTTAACACCTTTGAAGTAACATGTTTTCTCTAGAAGTAGAATTTTTTAATGGTTGGAGTGATAATTTTTTAACCTTTATATATAAGTATATATCCTCCTACATACATACATACAATTTACTAATCTTTAATTTCTTTTCTGATATTAGCGTTCAGTGGAATTAAACCCAACACAAAAAGATCTTGTGTTGAAGATTGCAGAATTGCTTTGTAAAAATGATGTTACTGATGGAAGAGCAAAATACTGGGTTGAAAGAGCAGCTAAACTTTTCCCAGGAAGTCCTGCAATTTATAAACTAAAGGTAAAAAAACAAAACATAAAGGGAGAAAACTTGAGACATAACCATTTCTAATATTTGGAGTTTAAATTACTTTTCAGTAGCAAACCTTAAGCCTAGGTGTTTGTGTTTCCTTTAAAATTTTTCTTTAAAAAGTGTATTAAAACCTTTCTGAGTAACTGCTGTCTTATTAGGCATTCTTATACTTTATAAGTGACATTTACCCTTCTGGGATAATTAATATTTTAGGGATTTTACAGTTTAGTAGCTGTAAATTAAGTAGAGCTAAGATTTACGTTAAAGAATTTGGTGTACAATTTTTGCTTCATTAAGTGAAAATTACCTACAGGATGACAGTTTAGGGATATTTTAAAGAACAGTTTTCTAATAACTGTTGTCTGAAAGTAGAAGGGATTATATTTTGAGATAGTAAGGTTTTCAAGCAAAAGATAAAGGTGGTTTGTCTAGTATATAAGACGTAATTACTAAAAATGATAGGAAGTTCTTGCCAGTGTGTTGACTGGTTCTGATATTCTTTATAGAATAAACAGTTACTTAGTAAACTAACTGTTCTGGAGAAAATCTACACAAATATGTTTGGCAAACATTTAAAATGTATATTGTAATGTTTATTAATGTATATTTTATTGTGCATGTACAATATTAAATTATAAATGTATATTTGCCTTTAGCAGCCTCCTACTCCCATTATATGTTTCTGACAGAAATTTAAAAAATTTTAATTTTGAAATAATTATAGATTTTTTTGCACAAGAAGTTGCAAAGATTGTACAGAAAGATCCTGTATACTACTTCGTTTTTCCCCAATGCTTATACAGGTTGAGCATTCCAAACCCGAAATCCTAAATGCTCCAAAATCTGAAATTTTTTGAGCACTGACCTGATGCTCAAAGGAACTGCTCATTGGAACATTTTGGATGTCAGATTTTCAAATTTGGGATGCTCTACCTGCTAAGTATCCTGCAAATATTCCAAAGTCTGAAAAAATTCAAAATCTGAAATACTTCTGGTCCCAAGCATTTTGGATAAGGGATACTCAACCTGTTTTACCTGACCAAGCACAATATCAAAATCAGGAATTTTGACATTGGCACAATGTGTGTGTATAGTTTTCTTTCATTTTATCACGTGTAGATTCATACCACCACTGCCGTCAAAATACAGAACTACTCTATTACCACAGAGATATTCCTCATGCTACCCCTTTTGTAGTCACGCTACTTCCTTCTCTTCACTATGCCTAACCTCTGGCAACCATTAATCTGTTCTCCATCTTTATACTTTTGTGATTTCAAAATGTTATGTAAATGTCATCATGAGGCATGTGACTTTTTTTTCTTTTTTCTTTTTTTTTTTTGAGATAGAGTCTCGCTCTGTTGCCCAGGTTGGAGTTCAGTGGCGCAATCTTGGCTCACTGCAACCTCCGCCTCCCAGGTTCAAGCTATTCTGCCTCAGCCTCCCTCGTAGCTGGGACTATGGGCACACGTTACCATGCCCCGCTAAGTTTTGTATTTTTAGTAGAAACAGGGTTTCACCATGTTGGCCTGGCTGGTCTCGAACTCCTGGCCTCAAGTGATCTGCCCACCCCAGCCTCCCAAAGTGCTGGGATTACAGGCGTGAGCCACCGTGCCGGGCAAGCATATGACCTTTAGAGGTTGGCTTGTTCACTCAGCATAATACAATTTGTGATTCGTCTAAGTTTTGTATATCCATAGTTGGTTCGTTTACTTCTGAGTAGTATTTCATGGTCCACAATTTAACCAGTCACTGTTTGTTTGTTTTTTTCTTCTTTTTTGAGACAGAGTCTTGCTCTCTCTGTCGCCCATGCTGGAGTGCAGTGGTACTATCTTGGCTCACTGCAACTTCTGCCTCCTGGGTTCTCAGGTGATCCACCCACCTCAGCCTCCCAAAGTGCTGGGGTTACAGCTGTGAGCCACGGCGCCCAACCTTAACCATTCACTTTTGAGGGGCATTTTGGTTATTTCTAGGTTTTGGCTATTGTTCAACTGCTATGAACAATCATGTACAGATTTTTGAAGCTGAAAAAACATTGAAAATGCTTCCAAAGATACATATTACTGACAAGTTAAGTTTTTCTCCCCAGTAGTAAGCTGCTGGATTTTAAATATTAGTCTAAAACGTTAGGTCTAATTGTGCAGATTTCTTTACTATATTCTTTAGGTGTTATGCCTCAAACATAATTCCCATGTTGGGTGTGGCAATCCAGTTAATTTGGTGTCAGTAGTGTTAAAGAACATACATAATGGTAGGGGATTCTTTTCTTGCAGTGTAACAAGTTAGATACTTTGAAGCATTCTTTAAAGACTTTCTTTAATAACTTGAAGACACTGTTACACCTTTCCTGTGTCAAATTTTTTTTTTTTTGGAATTGAAATCCATGAGATTTATAACTCTCATGCAAAGCAAATCCATTTCTCCTAAAATTTAAGGCTTGCTAAGGTAAACAATTTCTGACATTTGTTTAATGAATGAGAGTATTACTGTTGAGAAGGCTTTTTCTCTCGAGTATGAGATAGAACTTTTTAAAAGCACTCAGTGGTTTAAAAAAATTTTTTTAACATAGAGTCAAAGACTAGGGCTTTTGCAGATAGGGAGAGGCCAGGGTATCATCCATCTCATCCAGAAGAGGAGAAATTGATAAAGGAGAGAGGGGAATGAAATACAGACTACAAATGGGTGGCTTGGTCTTTGATAGCAGAGAGAGTTAGGGGAAGATGAGTTTAAGTAGGTAAAGTAAAATGGAATTTATATGTGGTAGCATCAGGTTTCTCAGTGAGGGTCGAATCTAGGTTGTAAGTTGAAAGTGAGAGTCAAAGGAAGGTATGGGAAACTTGAGGAAATAGGAGGTGTGAAGTGTCAGGGAGTGGAGAAAGTGAACTGTTAGTACTAAAATGGTATTTTGTTCTAGGCAGGACCAGTTTGAGGGTTGAGATAATGAAAATGAAATCTGTTAGCCTGGGATTGTGATTTCCCAAATCTAAGCACGCAGAAACCAATTGGGAAGGTTCTTCTGAGGATAAGAGGGAATTAGTTGAAGGGATCTGTAAGCAAACAGCAATTATGGATATAAGGGATTATAGCATTTTTTGCCTGACAGAAGAAAGTGTGTGTATTTATATGTGTTTACAGGTGTTTAAAACTTGATGATGTCATTATCCTGAAGGGAACTTGTCATGTGGTGGAGAAGTATATTTCTGGCAGTAAGGTTATATAGGCTCCCAGTGAGGTGGAAGAGTAAGAAGGGTGGTATGCTGGTTTCAGTGGTATGACCAAAATACAGATTTTGAAAACCTGTGTCAGTGGCAAGTGGATGGTTGAGGTTGGAGTGGAGGACAACGTCACTGGAGATGAGTTGATTAAAGAACTGAGTAGTCAGCCTGGGCAACACGGCAAGACCCCATCTCTACAGAACATTAAAAAAAATTTAGCCAGGCATGGTGTGGTGCATGCCCGTGGTCCTAGCTTCTTGAGAGGCTGATGTGAGAGCATCGCAAATGAGAAGTGAGTGGCCACAAACCCTACTTCCTCTCCTTGTCATCATGGCAGTGGGGGTCATCCTGAGATGACACTCTCTTCATTTAAGGTCAGGAGGTGATGACAGTGCTTTGAGATGATGATGAAGGTAACAGAACAGTGGGAGGAGAGGGGATGCGGGATTGAGTCAGATTTGAGGAGATACAGAGCAGTTTGAAGGTAAGAACTTTGTTGCCGAGGATTCACTGGGGACGTCTAGGCTTCTGGTGGTGACTCAGATGGACAGGGATGTGTGGCAGTAGTCCTGGTAGTCTCTTTGAGGAGAGTATGAGCTACTGCAGTAATTACAGATGCTTTTCTTCACACACAGTTCTTGAGGGTTAGTTTCTAGGTTGTAAGCAACTCTCAGAAGGGATGAATAAGGCTTATAGGATGGTGTTTTTGGTGGCATCATCATAAAGCTAGACATAGTGGAATGGTGCTCTTTGGGAGCATGACTTGTTTAAAATTGCACAAGTGTTACTCTAATGATTTTTTTTCCCCTCTAAATAGGAACAGCTTCTAGATTGTGAAGGTGAAGATGGATGGAATAAACTTTTTGACTTGATTCAGTCAGAACTTTATGTAAGACCTGATGACGTCCATGTGAACATCCGGCTAGTGGAGTTGTATCGCTCAAATAAAAGGTTGAAGGATGCTGTGGCCCACTGCCATGAGGCAGAGAGGAACATAGCTTTGCGTTCAAGTTTAGAATGGAATTCATGTGTTGTACAGACCCTTAAGGTAGGTAAAAGCTATTGGGTCTTTACATTTCTATGTAGGCAATTAGCATATTTCTTTTTGTACTAAAGCAGCATTGCCCCTCAAGACTTAAATTTCTTTTATTTATGTAGAACAATTATAAAATGAAGTTTTTTACTAGGATCAGTTAAATTTATAATGGGAAGATTGGGGAGCTAACTGTGATGAATGTATATATTTTTGGTGTTTTCATTTATAAGGTTGATGTAAAAATATAGTTTCACAAACGTGGAGTGGGAAAAGGAATTTGTAGGCATAAAATGGTTAATTTCTTAACATTTGATTAAGTTTTGTAACTTACTGTTCATTCCACAAAATAGGAATATCTGGAGTCTTTAGAGTGTTTGGAGTCTGATAAAAGTGACTGGCGAGCAACCAATACAGACTTACTGCTGGCCTATGCTAATCTCACACTTCTTACGCTTTCCACTAGAGATGTGCAGGAAAGTAGAGAATTACTGGAAAGGTATGTTGACTTTGACGAGAACACTTTAGTGTAAATTCAGTTTTTCTTTTTACAGTAAGTTCATTGCTCTAAACTTCTTTACTGAATTGTTATTTCTATAATGTACCTAGGAGTTATAGTTAATACAGTGAACCACTAGGAGGCAATCTTATTTTTCTTCTTTTATGGAGAAGTTCTAATTGGTTTTATATGACTTTGCTTTTTAGAGAATTCTTACAGTTCAAGCTTGATTAAAATTAGCTTTATGGTTACTCAGTTTTGTCATAGGCAAACTTAAAATGAATGTTCTAACTGCTATTTCATATTTTATTTTTTATAATGATATAATCTTGAGTGAAAAAGTTCATCTGTCATCAGATGGCTAGGTTCATATGTACTTAGCATCACTAGTATTTCAGAAAATACTGTTTTAGCTAAGAAACAAAATGACTCAACTATGTGATTTTTCTTTTTTCTTAAATTTTGATTTTGAGAACCAGTGTCTCCATTTTGAAAATAAATTCCATTGGACAAAAACATCACTTGGATTTATATAAAGATGCTAGTTTAGAGCAGGAGTTGATTAGAACTTGTGGGCCAAATATGGCCCCTGCCTAATTTTGTTAATAAAGTTTCATTGGAATACAGCATGCCTCTGGTTATGTAATTGTCTGTGGCTGCTTACATACTATAGGGTTGGAGTTGAGTGGTTGCAGCAGAGATGTATGCCTGTAAAGCCAGATTAGTATCTCCTCTTTATAGAAAAAGTTTACTGATTGCTAGTTTAGGCTGTCCATTTGTTTGGAAGTTATTTCCCCATCTGGTATAAAGAAAGAAACTCATTTCATTGAGTGCAGGGAGTAGGTAATTTTCTTGAAAAAGTATATAGTGTCCTAAATTGGTAGGGTAAGACCAGTATCTGAAAGAAATAACTTTAAGATTATTTTAGAAAACATGTAGGATGTTTTAGTTTGTATTCCTTGTGTACTCAATTTTTTTGGTCACAAGTTCCTTTTACGTTTTTCTTAAGGACATCAAAGATCTTTGTATGTAGGTTATTTTCTTTTCCTCTCGTCCCCTCCCCTTTCCTCCCCCCTCCTCCTATCCCTCCCCTCTCCTGCCTTCCCTTCCCACCTTCCCTCCCTGCTTCCCATCCCTCCCCACTCCCCACCCCTCCGGTCCCTTCTCGTCTCTGTTTTTTAAATGGAGTCTTGCTCTGGGCCAGCTGAGTGTGGGCGGCGCCTGGCTCAGCTGTAACCTCCGCCTGCCTGAGTCAGGGATACTGCTGCTCATGCTCTCCGCGAGTAGCGTGGGACCACAGGCGCGCACCACCACGCCCAGCTAATTTTGTGTACTTTTTAGCTAGAGACAGGCCAGGGTGTCTCAATCTCTTTCCTTTTTTTTATTATTTTTGAGACTGAGTGGTCACTCTCGTGAGGCTGGCAAGCACTGCGCAATCTCGCTCACTGCAGCCTCTGACTCCGGGTTCAAAGTGATTCTCTTCGTCTCAGACCTCCGAGTAGCGTGGGACTACAGGAGCCACACCACCGCGAGCGCTAGTTTTTTTTTTTTCTTTTGAGACAGAGTCTTGCTCGTCGCCCAGGGCCTGGAATGCAGTGCACAAGGTCTCGCTCACGCAAGCTCTGCGCCTCCTAGCGGTTCACGCCATTCTGACCTCAGCCCGTCCGAGTAGTGCGGACTACAGGCCGCCCGCCACAAACACCCGGCTAAGTTTTTATATTTCTGAGGTAAGTGGAGTTTTCACGTGCATCCAGGATTCTCGATCGTCCTGACCGCGTAATCTGCCCCTCCTTGCGCCTCCCAAGTACTGCGGTAACAGCGCGAGCCACCACATCCGCCCACACCGCAATTTTGCTTTTTTTAGTAGAGATGGGTTTCATCGTGTTGGCCCAAGGCAAAGGGGGTCGCGATCTGTTTGTGGTTTTGAGAGGCAGTCGCTGTCGCCCAGGCTGCGAGGCAGTGGAGCCACTCGCTTCACCACCAGCTCCACCTCTAGGGTTCACCGCGTCGCCGTGCCCTCAGCCTCACGAGTAGCTGGGACTACAGGCACCCGCCACCACACTCGGCTAATTTTTTGTCTTTTTAGTAGAGACGGGGTTTCACTGTGTTAGCCAGGATGGTCTCGATCTCCTGACCTTGTGATCCGCCCATCTCGGCCTACCAAAGTGCTAGGATTACAGTCGTGAGCCACCGTGACTGGCCAGTCTCAATCTCTTGACCTCCTGATCCGCCCACTTTGGCCTCCCAAAGTGCTGGGAAGTCTCAATCTCTTGACCTCGTGATCCGCCTGCGTTGGCCTCCCAAAGTGCTGGGATTACAGGCCTAAGCCACTGCTCCTGGCCGTATGTGGGTTATTTCTATTAGTGTTTATTACATTAGAAATTAAAGAAAATATGTAATTCATTAAAAATGTAATAAGCCCATTGCATGTTAATGATAATAGCTTTTTTTTTTTGAGACAGTTTTGCTCTTGTTGCCCAGGCTAGAGTGCAATGGTGTGATCTCGGATCACTGAAATCTCTGCTTTCCAGGTTCAAGCGATTCTCCTGCCTCAGCCTCCCAAGTAGCTGGGACTACAGGTGCCCACCACCACGCCCAGCTAATTTTTTGTATTTTTAGTAGAGACGGGTTTCACCATGTCGGCCAGGCTGGTCTTGAACAACTCCTGACCTCAGGTGATCCACCTGCCTCGGCCTCCCAAAGTGCTGGTATTACATGTGTGAGCCGCTGCGCCAGACCAATAATAGCATTTTTTATGAAAAATAATTATTTTGCAACAACAAAAAAGTAGTCAGAAAAGTGTCATTGTTTTTGCATTTTTGTAAATCTTTTTAATGTCTCACTTAATAGAACATGGCTAGATTCTCATTTGCTTCCTCTTTCAGTCTGTAAAACTATATTACATGTCATGAAGCCTCTGGAAAACTCAGCTCAGCCGGGTGGGGTGGCTCAGGCCTGTAATCCCAGCACTTTGGGAGGCCGAGGTGGGCAGAAAAACAAAAACAAAACAAAAAACAACTCAACTCTACATACATGAGAAAATGAGAATGTAAAATATAAAATTTTTTGGTATTATTGTAAAAGTAATTTTAACCTCATGGATCCCCTGAAGGGGTTTTTAAGAACCCTCAGAGATCTTTAGACCTCGGTTGCTCTGGTTGCTTTATTGTAAGCTACTTTAAAATCATGCTTCACGTTTAAGTATTTGCTTTTACTTCTCTTCCAAAGTGAAGATTTGGAGAAACATTAGGATTTAGAAGAACTAATTTAGAATATAGATTACAAATAATAGGCCAGGCGCAGTGGCTCATACTTGTAATCCCAGCACGTTGGTAAGCTGAGGCGGGGGGGATCATGAGGTCAGGAGTTCCAGACCAGCCTGGCCAACATAGTGAAACCCCATCTCTTCTAAAAACATAAAAAAAGTTTAGCTGGGCATGGTGGCAGGCGCCTGTAGTCCCAGCTACTCAGGAGGCTGAGGCAGGAGAATCACTTGAACCTGGGAGGTGGAGATCGTTGCATTGCATTCCAGCCCGGGTGATAGTGAGAGACTCCGTCTCAGAAAAAAAAAGTTTAACTCTGTAATTTATATAGTAAAAAGAGCAATTACTGTATTATTACTCAAGTATGTGTCAGTTATTTACTTATAATTTGGAAATGGTATGTCTAATTTGAGAAATTACAACTGTTAATTAACTAATGAAACTATATGATCAGGAAGAAACTACAAAATAGTCTCCCAACTTTATCCTGGTTTATTTTGAAATGTGCACCTATAATCACTAATCTTATATTTATCCTGTGATTGGAGGGCTGGAAATAACTGGGAATAAGACATCATTTGAGAGGTTAAGCTTGAAGTATAGGAAGTATGCAGCATAAAAATAAGCATTAGATGATGATTCATAACTTATAACATGGGGAGTAAGAATTATTAGAAGCTGAATATGGAAGATGAAGCTTGAAATAAAATTTTTATTTTGTTTTGAATTAAATAAACCATGATTATTCACAGTGCAGTAAGTGGATTATCTGTTTGATATTTTCATATTACAGTTTTGATAGTGCTCTTCAGTCTGTGAAATCTTCTTTGGGTGGAAATGATGAACTGTCAGCTACTTTCTTAGAAATGAAAGGACATTTCTACATGCATGCTGGTTCTCTGCTTTTGAAGATGGGTCAGCATAGTGATGTTCAATGGCGAGCTCTTTCTGAGCTGGCTGCATTGTGCTATCTCATAGCATTTCAGGTAAGTCTTCCACTTGTAGGAGCAACTGACATTTCACTGAGTCTTGATGTGTTTTAAATGAAGGTATGTAATGACAATATGTGAATAAACCGGTGGAATTAAAGTTAAAATGAAATAGTCAATTTGATACAGTGGAAAATAACTAAGTGTACACAATAGTGGTGAGGCTGGTGAAACAGGGATGTTGAATGCACTGCTGTTGAAAGCCTGCATTGCTATGATTTGTTTGTAAACAAATTTGAAGAGTTTGATCTTATTACTCTGCCATTTTTGGGAACATGATAAATATGTAATCCCACTTTATGGGTAAAGCTTGATCCAAAAAGATGTGTGACTTGGACAAAATCCTAATAAGTACATGTAGGGCAATGGCTTTATAACCTATGAAAGAAGAATATGATTGCATTTAACATGTTAATTGAAAAACATGTATATAACATTTATGACTGTGTTGTGTATGATATGTAACAATATATTAATCTTTGAAAACATAAAGCCTTTTCTTACTATTTATTTATTTTTTTGAGACCAAGTCTCTCTCTCACCAGGCTGGAGTGCAGTGGCCTGATCTCGGCTCACTGCAACCTCCACCTCCTGGGTTCACGCCATTCTCCTGCCTTAGCTTCCCAAGTAGCTGGGACTACAGGCGCGTGCCACCATGCCCAGCTAATGTTTTGCATTTTTAATAGAGATGGGATTTCACCATGTTGGCCAGGATGGTCTCAATCTCTTGACCTCACGATCTTCCTGCCTTGGTCTTCCAAAGTGCAGGGATTACAGGCGTGAGCCACTGCGCCTGGCCTTTTTTTTTTTTTTTTTTTATAATGAGCTTGCATTACTTTGAAAGGAAAAGAAATAAGCAGTCCTTCCCTAAAAAGCATTAAACCAGGCTTAGAAAAATGATGTGTTAATTTTAGAGAAGGATTTTTTGTCTAGGGAGGGAAAATAAAGGATTCATTACTTTAGAGAAGGCCCTCCTTCTAATATAAAATCTTGAT